TGTCAAGTTCATGAGCCGCTATACAACAACACCTCCACAAATACATACCTCTTTCAGTTTAATCCAATGACGGATTGAGTGTCAAGTTCATGAGCCGCTATACAACAACACCTCCTCAAATACATACCTCTTTCAGTTTAATCCAATGACGGATTGAGTGTCAAGTTCATGAGCCGCTATACAACAACACCTCCTCAAATACATACCTCTTTCAGTTTAATCCAATGACGGATTGAGTGTCAAGTACATGAGCCGCTATACAACAACACCTCCACAAATACATACCTCTTTCAGTTTAATCCAATGACGGATTGAGTGTCAAGTACATGAGCCGCTATACAACAACACCTCCACAAATACATACCTCTTTCAGTTTAATCCAATGACGGATTGAGTGTCAAGTTCATGAGCCGCTATACAACAACACCCCCACAAATACATACCTCTTTCAGTTTAATCCAATGACGGATTGAGTGTCAAGTTCATGAGCCGCTATACAACAACACCTCCTCAAATACATACCTCTTTCAGTTTAATCCAATGACGGATTGAGTGTCAAGTACATGAGCCGCTATACAACAACACCTCCACAAATACATACCTCTTTCAGTTTAATCCAATGACGGATTGAGTGTCAAGTACATGAGCCGCTATACAACAACACCTCCACAAATACATACCTCTTTCAGTTTAATCCAATGACGGATTGAGTGTCAAGTACATGAGCCGCTATACAACAACACCTCCTCAAATACATACCTCTTTCAGTTTAATCCAATGACGGATTGAGTGTCAAGTTCATGAGCCGCTATACAACAACACCCCCACAAATACATACCTCTTTCAGTTTAATCCAATGACGGATTGAGTGTCAAGTACATGAGCCGCTATACAACAACACCTCCTCAAAAACATACCTCTTTCAGTTTAATCCAATGACGGATTGAGTGTCAAGTACATGAGCCGCTATACAACAACACCTCCTCAAATACATACCTCTTTCAGTTTAATCCAATGACGGATTGAGTGTCAAGTACATGAGCCGCTATACAACAACACCCCCACAAATACATACCTCTTTCAGTTTAATCCAATGACGGATTGAGTGTCAAGTTCATGAGCCGCTATACAACAACACCTCCTCAAATACATACCTCTTTCAGTTTAATCCAATGACGGATTGAGTGTCAAGTACATGAGCCGCTATACAACAACACCTCCTCAAATACATACCTCTTTCAGTTTAATCCAATGACGGATTGAGTGTCAAGTACATGAGCCGCTATACAACAACACCTCCTCAAATACATACCTCTTTCAGTTTAATCCAATGACGGATTGAGTGTCAAGTTCATGAGCCGCTATACAACAACACCTCCTCAAATACATACCTCTTTCAGTTTAATCCAATGACGGATTGAGTGTCAAGTACATGAGCCGCTATACAACAACACCTCCTCAAATACATACCTCTTTCAGTTTAATCCAATGACGGATTGAGTGTCAAGTTCATGAGCCGCTATATAACAACACCTCCTCAAATACATACCTCTTTCAGTTTAATCCAATGACGGATTGAGTGTCAAGTACATGAGCCGCTATACAACAACACCTCCTCAAATACATACCTCTTTCAGTTTAATCCAATGACGGATTGAGTGTCAAGTACACGAGCCGCTATACAACAACACCTCCTCAAATACATACCTCTTTCAGTTTAATCCAATGACGGATTGAGTGTCAAGTTCATGAGCCGCTATACAACAACACCTCCACAAATACATACCTCTTTCAGTTTAATCCAATGACGGATTGAGTGTCAAGCACATGAGCCGCTATACAACAACACCTCCTCAAATACATACCTCTTTCAGTTTAATCCAATGACGGATTGAGTGTCAAGTACATGAGCCGCTATACAACAACACCTCCTCAAATACATACCTCTTTCAGTTTAATCCAATGATGGATTGAGTGTCAAGTACATGAGCTGCTATACAACAACACCTCCACAAATACATACCTCTTTCAGTTTAATCAAATGACGGATTTGGTTCACAAGCAATGCGGCCAATTAAGTCCGCATATCTACATTGTTTTGAATACGCATAGATCACCAACGTAGTTTACGTTCGAAATTATGTTAAAGAGATAACAGCTATAGGCAAACACTTGTATTGGTTTTTAGAACTCCGTTGAGGACTGCTAAGAAAAAGAAGAACAAAATCGACACTCAATAATTATAAAAGATGGCAGATGCCATCTTCAATTCATGAAAGGCACTATGTCTCATTTGCAGGCCAAACATATGAAAAGGTTAAATTCCAACGGCATTTGAAAGACAATACTAATTTAGAACTTCCCTCAAAACCAAAGGGCTTGAAAATGGCTTTAAGTGGGGAAAAAACAACCATTAGTTGTCGAATTGACTTAAGTGATTGCAATCATTTAAGTAATAGTCTGATTTTCAGACCTTTTACCGAATGGCCGTAGGTTTTGCCCTGCACAGAGATTCAACCAGTTTAATTTTGGCCATTACAAGGAGTGGATTATAGATGTAGACAAATGCTCAATAACCTGTTACAGCTCATGTTATGTATGTTATTACCAAATAAAAAAAAGATGTCAGTCAGTCACTCCAAAGTGTCTGACAAGCGAAGTCTAGAAGGTAAACGGGTTTCTTTGCATAATTTGAATACTATTTATAGGACACTGCTAATGTTTAAATTTCACAGATAGGACATACATGACATATCATTCCTGCAAAGTTCTACATAATTTGATGTTAACTGCAAAAGGGACATACACGAACACTAGCTATGTATGAATCATGATAAACCTACTACTACTACTACTTCTAGTAGTAGTAGTAGAAGTAGTAGTAGTAGTATTAGGAACCGCAGGCGCGTACGCAGGATTTTTAAAGGGGGGGTTTTAACATTTATAAATCGGTCCGAAAATTTCGCAACGACTCAGCCGACCGGTGAATAAGCGGGGGGGGGGGGGGGGGGGGTCCCAAAAAATCGCAACGACTCAGCCAACCGCTGAATAAGCGGGGGGGGGGGGTAAGAGGACACTTTTTTCTCGAATTTTGGTATTAAATTTGACTTTTTTTTTTAATAAAAAAAAAAAAAAAAAAAATCAAAAAGGGGGGGGGGGGCTTTAGTTTTTTTTTAGGGGGGTTACACACATAAAAATACCAAAAGGGGGGTTTAACCTCCCCCAAACCCCCCCCCCTGCGTACGCGCCTGAGGAACCGTTCCTGTTGCTATGACAGGACGAGCCATTTTCGTGCGGAATCTAAACATGTGTTCGGTAGTGGGGGGGGGGTACACCTAGAGCTACCTTCTGTGTTGATCCTATCCCACTTCTTTTATCTTTTTTTTCTACCATTATACGAAAATGTATTGGACGGTATTGCCTCGATTACGTAACTTGCTATGGAGTTCTGAGATTAACTCGGTTTTGCATTTTGTAAGCCAAAAGAAGTCTTCTTCTTTCTAACGACGGGATTACACCAGATTTGTTAAGAAATTGGTCAAACTTTTTGCAAATCAGTTCAATAGACCATACAATGCGTGTTGCTTTGGTATGGCGAGTCTATTGTATAGAATGGAAAGTTTGGTAAGTTGTATTAGCTTTCCAAATATGTACAGCAGCTTTACATGTATATGGAGCTATAGTGTACGAATCAAAGTGGGCCGGCACACACAACGTGTCCATTGTTAGTAGAATGGGTATACAGTTTCACATTTCTTTAAATTATTAACATATGAAGTTATAGAACAAAGTGTAGTAAGCTGAAAAAATAAATCAAACTAGAATGCCTACATGTTCTAGAAATATACATGATGTGTTTATTACAGGTGGAACGAGGAATACCATAATGGAGAATAAAGGATCAAATTAACATTAGCATTATCTTTATTGTTCATTCACGTGTTCAGCGGAAGGGATGGCCGGCCGGGTGGTAGGAAAAAGATTTGATTACCCTTTTTTCTCGACATTGCGATAATATTTCTTTTTCTTTTTTACGCGGAAGATTTTGACTTTATACTTTGAAGAAAACAAATGGTTAACCATGCCCTACTGTAGATGAAATAATACATTATTACCCATTTAAAGTCACTTGAAATTTTACAGCTAGCCTTGTGAAAGAGGGTGATGACTGTTGTATGGAATAAATATAAAATTCTCATGAAATCTTTCTGGTGATAATAGTAATGACAATAAACGGCATTTCTCCCCTATTTCTTGCATTTTCGTTTTTTAAATTTCACTCTAAGCCAAATTGATGAGCAAATCAATTGCTTTTCAAAATCGGATATAGAATGTGTCCTCAACTGATTCATTTAGTAGGATACACATGTTTTATTTTATTGTTGGTTTTCATAATTGTGATAGATGTGATGTATCAACATATTTTAGGCAATACCGTACTTCCACTTATTATTTTTGTTGTTGAGCCTATAGTAAATAAACATTTTCCTTAGTACCAGCTTGGTAGCAAATGGCTTTTGTTTCAACATTTATTTTATCGAGCTGAAAATAAACATAAACGACAAACGCGACAGTTGTGGCCCAAAAGAGATAATTTTTGTTTCTCAAATTACTTTCATTGATTAAATGTCAGTTCTTAATACATGTAGGAGGCAATAGAAGAGAAAGGGCGTGGGGAAGGAAGAAAATGAGATCATCAATACCCACATACACCCTCCCTTATTCGCTTCTGAATTTATAAAGAGTTTTCAATTCTCTTTTTGCTGAAATTATATTAATTAGACCTACATGACATTGATAAATAACAAACTTTTATTCATGTATAATTATAATCCCTGAACATTACTCTCATTATGTTCAGTTTGGTAGTTTGAAACATTTTGTACTTTATTTCAAACGATGGATGAATAGGCAGAATCCTACAAGCATCGTTGAACTAACGTAATTTAGGCCAAAGTATATAGTAAAGTAAAGAAAAGTAAAGCAAATATATAACTTACTCAAAATCTGGCTGAATCTTCAAAGACTAATGGGTAGCAGCTAGAATGTAATAAGTGTAATGAGCATAGAGTCAAAGACCAGAGATAAAACTCTCGCTGTGCGCGAATTATCATACAAGAGAGGTATGGGGTTAAAACGTACACCCTTTCACCTGGGCAAACACGTAAGTATCGTAAGAATGACTATAATCAGGGGCGGATCCAAGGGGGGGGGGGCGACCTTTAGAAGGTCTTTGAAAGGATATGAAATATAATTTGTATTAAATATAAAGACGTGTAAAAAACATTAGAGAGACTCAAACAGGTGAGGAGGCTGGGCATGTCTTCCTATAACCAAACAGATGAGGAGGCTGTGCATGTCTTCCCATAAACAGGTGAGGAGGCTGGGCATGTCTTCCCATAAACAGGTGAGGAGGCTGGGCATGTCTTCCCGTAACCAAACAGGTGAGGATGCTGTGCATGTCTTCCCATAACCAAACAGGTGAGGATGCTGTGCATGTCTTCCCATAACCAAACAGGTGAGGAGGCTGGGCACGTCTTCCCATAAACAGGTGAGGAGACTGGGCATGTCTTCCCATTAAACCAAACAGGTGAGGATCGAAGCTGGGCATGTCTTCCCATAACCAAACAGGTGAGGATGCTGGGCACGTCTTCCCATAACCAAACAGGTGAGGATGCTGTGCATGTCTTCCCATAACCAAACAGGTGAGGATGCTGGGCACGTCTTCCCATAACCAAACAGGTGAGGATGCTGGGCACGTCTTCCCATAACCAAACAGATGAGGATGCTGTGCATGTCTTCCCATAACCAAACAGGTGAGGATGCTGTGCATGTCTTCCCATAACCAAACAGGTGAGGATGCTGGGCACGTCTTCCCATAACCAAACAGGTGAGGATGCTGGGCACGTCTTCCCATAACCAAACAGGTGAGGATGCTGTGCATGTCTTCCCATAACCAAACAGATGAGGATCGAAGCTGGGCATGTCTTCCCATAACCAAACAGGTGAGGATCGAGGCTGGGCATGTCTTCCTATAACCAAACAGACGAGGATCGAGGCTGGGCATGTCTTCCATAACCAAACAGGTGAGGATGCTGGGCATGTCTTCCCATAACCAAACAGGTGAGGAGGCTGGGCATGTCTTCCCATAACCAAACAGGTGAGGAGGCTGGGCATGTCTTCCCATTAAACCAAACAGGTGAAGATGCTGGGCAAGTCTTCCCCTAACCAAACAGGTGAGGAGGCTGTGCATGTCCTCCCACAACCAAACAGGTGAGGAGGCTGGGCATGTCTTCCCATAACCACTAATTGACAATGCGATTCGCCTTTTGGACAGATAGAGAAAAAACAAACAATACTCAACTCCATATTACAGGTTAACACGGAAAAGCACGGTTCTTGAGGAGGGTTATAATTCCCCTAGTTATGCCTTAGAAATTGCGTGAAAACTGACTCATGTCATATATGAAGACAAGGACCACATGAAATCGATCGTAAAAATCTGAGGAGCCCTCACATCATTTTACAGCAATTAATATGGGTATACTTTGGGCCTTCAAAAAAAATCTAAACTGCCAGACCTTTCTTCTCTATTGAGTACCCCTTTTCAGATACAATAAATATGTGCCCCTTACAAACCTCTCTTAAGTGGCCCATTCACCTCTTTATTGTCCCTATTCATATTTGTCTTGAATTCCCCCCTAAGCTCGTTCACATTTATAGTTGATGTAATTATGTAGCCTGTGTGTGTTTCACGGTTTGGGGGTGGGGGGGGGGGGGATGTATGAGCGTTGCCATCAAGGGGTTGATCTATCGTGTTCCTAACCCTCAGCAAAAGAAGGAAGCGACAGAGAGGTAGTTGTAGGGACTTTAGTTATATACCATATTCAAGCTCTTCGTAAATATACAATAATGCAAGATATAATATGCATATAAGTAGATTTTAAAGAAATTAAGTCAAATAAGATACGATTTTGTAACCTTCATTTATTATGCGAACGGTGGCGTCCACGGGGGGGGGGGGGGGTTGTGTACGTCCCCCCCCCAAATGTCCAAGATCGGTTGAATTTTTTTAGACCTCTCCCCAGGACGTCGATCAATTACATGTATGTGCCAACAACAACAAAAACATCAAACTCTGGCTACGGCCCTGGTGGCGTCCCATTTTACTTTTAAACTTTGATGTATAATTATAGAGACATCCCCATAATCTAGCTAATATATATCCCCCGCTGACTAAATAAAGGAAAACATAACACACACATAATCCTATCGTAATTTGTCCCACCACCATGCCCCCGACTGAGCTTATCCTGGCTACGCTACTGAGACATAAGTAAGGCCCTTTATCATAGCCATTTAAGGACTGAGTTTGCTATTTTAGAAACTAGTATTTTTTTTATACGACAATAATGTTTTTGTATAAAACAGCTTTTAGTAGGACCAGGCGCGGATCCAGGATTTCTTAGGGGTGGGGGCCCAAATTTGAAATTTAGTGTGCTGAAATTTGAAAATCGTGCCGGCCAATATTTCGCTCAGTGGGGGGGGGGGGGGGAGGGGGGGGGGGGTAGGATAGGGAGGGGGGTAGAGAGCACTAATCTTTTTTTGAGGGCCCTCGAAAATTTGAAAAATTTCCTATCTCTTAGAAGCTCAGGGGTATTAAACATCAAATTAACGTCGGATGAGCATAATTTAATAACTTATTTGTGACAGTGGCAGGACACAATTTGGTGTTGGGTCCAGGGGGCTGAGCCCCCAGAAGCTCAGGAGTCATGTACATTAAATTATTATTATTTTATATTTTATTTGTGACACTGGTAGGACACAAATTGGCGTGGGGTCCAGGGGGCGGAGCCCCAAGAAGCTGAGGGTTTTTTTACATTAAATTATGTGTTATGTGATGGCCAAGATTAAACTGATTGAATCTTTGCGCAGCATAAAACGTATGACCATTCGGTACAATTGTCTGAAAATCAAGACTATTACTTTTGGGCTCTATAGCCTTAAAGTCGATTTGACAACTAATAGTTGTTATTTTCCCACTTGAAGACATTTTCAAGCCCCATCTTTGTTAGGGAAGTCCTAAATTAATATTATCTTTCAAACGCAGTTGGAATTTAACTTTTTCATTTTTTTGGCCTGGAAATGGGACATCCCAATAAACAAAATCACGTGAAAATCACGTCAATATCAAGGTATCGACTTGAGGGGAGTTACGTTCTTCAAACACCGGACAATTACGTAAATGTGTTAATACGTTTATTGCACTAGGTCACTTAAAACACACGTACACTAAATCACGCAATTGTCACTGCAGTATCACCATTATAATAACGTGATTATCCCTACCTTGGAGACCATGGTTTGAAAACCTAATACTCCCGTGTTTGTTTGGTTATGAAATTACATCTTCATAAACGAAATTATCGCGTCACATAAACAGGTGAAGCGTTAGTGATAGTTTTAGTCAAAATATCTGCGTGAAATTCACGTGAATATTATGAGGCTGACTTGAGATGAATCATGTTCTTCATTCACGTGAAATTTACGTCGAAGAGGAAACATGTTACTGTAACCCGCGTTCAACCCAATAATTACGCAAATGTTACACAATAAATGAACCAAAATAATGACGTTCTCATCCCGTTTCTGAACATCATGTTTTGGATCTTCCATAATTACGTCCAGGCGCGCCGGAAGCAGTTTTGGGTTAGAGGGGGTGGGGGGGGGGGGTGGTTGCAAACATCCCAGAAGAGAAAGCTTGTTGCAACTGGTCCAGTTGATGAACCAGTTAATATCAACTGGTAACCCCGGAAATTGAAATGGGCTAAATGATCCAGTTGATCCAGGCCAGTTAGAATTCACCTGGGCCCCGTCTTACAAAGAGTTGATATCAATCGTAAGTTATTTGCGATTGATATCAATCGTAACTATGTACATAAGAGATAGGAGACTGCAAACTTGCGATTGATTGGAGGACTTACGATTGATTTGGATCGATCGTAACTCTTTGTAAGACGGGGCCCTGGTCTAGCTGAGCCATTAGAATTAGAACCATTTGGTAAAACTTCCAACCAGTTGAACGGCAACAACACTTCAATACTGGTACGTCTGTATTTCCAATGTAAAGGCATTGCTAATAAGTAGACGTACATAATTTAATTAATCGAACATTTTTCATATACTTGTATTTTATTGAAATTATTTTAGGTCATAGTTAATGTTTCCCTTATTCATGTTTATTTAAATGTAATTTATACGAAGTAGCGAAATGTCCTAAAAACTGGTAATTTATATTTGTAGTATTTTCGAAATGAATTGCATATAACTAAATCATCAGTAATTAAGAAATATGCTGTAAATTCAGATAAATTGTTTACAAAACATAGATCTGCACGCACCCCATATTCAATATGCAAATTAATTGGTGTCAGCTGGTTCAACTGGAAATATGCCAACAGTCAGCCAGTCATCAACTGGTGCAACTGGAAATATGCACACAGACCAGTTATCAACTGGTGCAATGAAAATATGCCAACAGTCAGTAATCAGCTGGTGAAAATAGAAATATGCCAACAGTCACGGGATTATCACCACGGAACTTAAAAGGTAACTGTGAAACCATCAAGACACCCAAGAATAATTCATTTTTCACACCTGGAAAGCACGGAATACCCAGCTTATATTAATAATCCGTTTGAGTCACGAGATCATCACCGCGGAACTGCTGGCAACTTTGACTACCATTTAAATAGGTGTTTTAAGACACCTAATAATTACTAATTCTTCACACCTAAATATCACGGATTCACAGCTTAGATTATTAATCAGTTTTAGCTACGTGATCATCACCAATAAAGTTATGGTAACTTTGAAACCATTTAAAAAGGTGTTTTAAGACACCTAATAATTACTAATTTTTCACTCCTAAAAGTCACGTATGCCCAGCTTAGATTAATAATCCGTTTGAGTCACGTGATCATAACCAAAAAAGTTATGGTAACTTTGAAAACTTTTAAAGAGGTGTGTAAGACACCTCAGAATTACTAATTGAATATAACCAGAGATTCACGGACAGAACAATAAGACGATTAGCCGGTGTAAGTAA